GAGGACCAGGGCGCTGCGTGTGGCTTCGCCTCCGCGGTGACTTCCTCCCGGTGGTGCCGTCCGCCCAGGTCCTGCGCAGACTGCAGCAGATGGAGCACCTGCTTGAGCACAGCCGCCAGCCGCTTCGGCTCCGAGAGTGTGGCCTCCAGGGGCTCGTCGCCTGCCTGCCGGAAGGGGCGGTCTCCCTCCAGCTCTGCCGGGGCCTCTACAAGCTGTTCCTGGGCACAGGTACCACCTGCTGGGCTCAAAGGGCAGGCCAGGTGGAGGGGTGCCAGGGCTCCAGGAACAGGGCAGGTGGGAAGAGGGCAGGGGCTGAGGCTGAGCCAGCAGGGGAGGGTTAGGGTGAGGGTCAGGCTCCAGCTCGCAGGCCCCTCTGGCCCTCTTCCCAGACTGCCTGAGCCTCTCAGACCTGATGGCCGTGGTGCAGCTGTCCCTCCAGGCTGACCTCGGCGTCCGCCTGGACATCTGTCGCAAGGTGAGTGCGGGCGGCAGAGCTTGGGGGGGCCTCCCCGAGAGCTCACTTTGTCTGCGGCAGTGAGGGGTCCTGGGGTCTCCCCAGAAAGCTCCAGGCCGGGCCGGGCCGGGGGGGAGATCTCTCAGGGCAGGTGGCCTTTCACAGGGGTAGCCCTGCCTAACATCAGGGCTGCAGCTGCCAGTGGGGTCCCAGCATAGGGCAGGGCTTTACAGGGTCCGTGGACAGCCCTATGGGTCCTGCCTGGTGCTTCTGGGCCTGGGGTTTGGCCTCTGCTTATTCTATGGCACCCTCCAGAGCATTCGGGCGTTGTTGTTTTTAATGTGTCTTTATTGATGTCAGAGAGGAAGGGAGAGGGAGAGAGAGAGAAACATCGATGAGAGAGAATCACGGATCGGCTGCCTCCTGCACGCCCCCCACTGGGGACCAAGCCCACCCCCTCGGAGCTGCCCGCCTCCCCAGAGCCAGCCTCACCCAAGCCACTCACCGAGTCCCCTGAACCTTCGGACGTCTTCCTGCCCTCGGAGGCCCCCTGCCCCGACCCCGATGCCTTTTACCAAGCGCTCTCCCCATTCTGCACACCCTTGGACCTGGGCCTGGAACGGTCCAGTGTGGACTCGGGCAACATCGCAGGTGGCGGCAGCGGCGGCAGCGGGACCCTTACTCCCGCCAGCCAGCCAGGCA